GCTTCAGGAATTCGCACTAGGGATACTGGAGGTGACAGGGTATGCTCCGGAGGTCTAGAGACAATCAGGTGTCGCACTATAAGGGTTGGGAAACCGGAGAAGAAGTACGAAGGTATCAGGACTGTCTGGAACAACTATAGCTTAGGGGAAACGCTTTGGGGGATGTTTGAAGGAGTTGAGCGAAAGGAATAGTGTGGTATGGTGACGAAAATGCGGTATGGAACTCTGCGAGGTTGATGGACAAGGAAGATGTTTGCAAAGGAACAGTTTGTGTATATATAGGACACCTCCGGCACCATTGAAAGAGCAAGAATTGCAGACACTCTCTACCTATCATAGCCTTATTATTTGAGATTTGCCATTTGATCTGTTTTTGGTACCTCGTTCCCGAGATTCTCTGGCAGCTATTGTTCGGAGTCGCCGGACCGGAACAGCTCTCCCGGGGTGGTTGATTGGACACTTCACCTTTGTTGGCTTTCCACACTTGGTGCTGGCACTTGCCTTTCGTGTGCTGTGCGCTACCGTATACGATTTCTCGGCTTTACCTCGTTCTCTTGTATCCTGTGGTATTGTTTCGAGCCACTCATTGTGTCTGGGAAGTCACGATATAAGCGGGCCTTGGATTCTTGGGTCTCATTTGGATCAAAGAATTTCTCTCATTGCCTTCCCTTCTCCCCCTTTCGTATCGCTTTTCAGGCTCTTATATGCGTTACTGGAAGTATTTTGCTAGCGGGAGTGGTTTTTACCATGGTTTGACTTTTTCAAAGGGTTGTTTGTTCGTTGTATGGTATTGGTTGACAACGTCCTGTCTTCACCACGGCAGGTTTTGGAATGCTCGGCAGTGCTTATAATTGTATGTTCTACTGCACCCTGGGACTCTAGTTCTCGCTGAACTCCGGGAGGTAAATGACATAATCTTAAAAATCACTCAATATCTCGCTATGGTTTCTTCCCTTCCCTCTGCGAACATCGGAGCATCCTGGATATTCCAGGTTGATGAGAGGAAAGGGGGGGGGAAGGGTTCATAAGCGCAGCAAACTGTCGGGTATCGAAGTACCCTCCTCCAAAGCCCCCCGTATCACCGGCTCGTGGTAGGTTGGGCGTAAGCCTCTAAAACTGGTATGGAGTCAACCTGCAATGATGTGGTGTAGCAGAATTGAATTCTCCCAGACGGACACGGGACGGACGAATTAGCGGGCCACCAGGAATACCCAATAGCGCCGAGACAATCAAGTCCTACCGGTATCTTTCGAACCAACACATAATGTATTCATGGGAAATTCCAAGCTGCGATAAATAGCCGGTATTATTAATCCAACGAATACAATCAATGGCGATACCATAAACTGTTACCAGCCGCGAAATGAATCAGCCATTCTAAAATCCCTTCCGATTCTTGGGTTGTTTCTCCACCCTATGTATCCATAGAAAGTGGTAAGTATAGTAAAATAAATTCGTTTGGAATGTGAGGAGAGAGAAGTATAGTTGGAGGGATGATGGATAAGAACCAGCAGGAGATTTTCTTAGGCGCACACTTGAAAGGTCAGAATTCGCATATCATTTCTAAGTAGATAACAAGGCCCTTTTAACCCAAGATGATCTACATCTTGTCCGGTGCCTGTGTGGATGAAAATTTTCATCTCCGGTAAGGGGACTAAAGTCTTGTCCCTTTGAAACAACAAGGAAACAGAAAAGAAACAAGAGAGAAATTTTCACTGCAAGGAGATAAGGAGATAGAGAGGAAACAGAACGGAAACAACAGGGTGATAACAGTTTCAGACATCAAGTAAGGTATAACGGAAAGTTCATGAAGATCATATGGGAAACCAATAGTAGGTATGAAATCGAAACTCAGGGACAATATTCCAACAGTAAGTGACGAGAGAGGAGAGAGTAATGGCAGATGAGGAGTACCTGTAGCGCCTCGCACGATTCTGATATGCTACCGTCCTAGCCTAAGCTCCCCGAGCCCTGGTGAATTTATGATAGTCTACCGCACAAACGCGAATGCTAAATTAGTAACACCAAGGGAGTACGGTAGGTGTAGCGCTAAGCTCTAAGTTAGTTAGGATTCCTAGTCACGATTGGATTACCGAAATTTACTAGATTGCGATGAGACTGATAACAGGGGGCCTCCGCTTCACTACCGCAATGAGAATAAACAACAAAAGCTTTCAAGATCTACGTAGCGAGAGCGAGACGGTGAAGAAGGCAATACCGACTGATTGTCTAAATGGGAGTAAAAACGACAAGGCCGAGTGAGAAATGACATTGTCGGTACTTAAGACAAGCAAACCGTAGGTGTGGGTTCGCACGGAAGCAAGGACATGGCTTTACGGTATGTGAACCAGCAGTATGATATATAATATTACAACCACTGGGCGGAAGTGTTCGTAGTACCGGTGTGAGGTTGAGTGCGAGTTGGGGAATATTCCTGTGTCCGGTAGGGTGTTTACCCTCATGGTAACCTTTCTATGTATGATGGGTAGCTTGGCATACAAAATTTAATGGTTGCCATTTAAGCTGCATTACCTTCTCCTCTTAACACAGAGGGGGCGAGCTTCGGTCAACACAGGCCTAGTCAACATCGCCCCTCCACCTCAAGTGGGTGCGGTGCTATCTCCTTTCGTACCTTCCATTCCGCTTTAGTTAAACGACAGATCTGCTAGCCAATTTACACAGAGCTATCGTCAACCATATCAGAGTACCATTGGAGGGGAAATATCAGAGTGTACCAGCGTAATCGACACACCATCCGGCAAAGGGAAACTTACAAATAATTCCCACACCGGTATGATACGGTATGAGTGCCTGTACCCGATACTCGTGCCGAGGTTGTGCCTGGGCGCCACAATACCCAAACGCTCAATGGCTTGCACGCGACAAGACACTCTAAAGCGTGCTAGCCCGCTCAGCCTGACTTTGTAGCTCAACGTATTGCGGTTCAGTATAACTCTGTGGCTCGGCTCAGTTTGTGGCTCAACACAATGACACAACCGCCCGGCTCCGTTGCCCCATGCAAAGGAACCCTTTCGTTCCATTGGAAGATCGTTTTTGCGTCGGAAACAGTCGCAAAACCGGACAGGGCGGATACCGGTATCCGGGGAGGCGCCAGGTTGTGATGAGCCACAAATTTGCGTTGAGCTGTAAAGTCATGTTCGACTGGAGGGGACTCTTTAGAGTTAACCATCAAACGTTCGGGGGTTGTGGCCGCAGCGCGAGCGCTTGTGCACGAGGTGTTTGATTGTGTTGATGGAGCCATCGGTGTCTGTGCCTCTGGGTAAGTTAACTAGCGGTGGTGGAGTTATCACCTCCCTACGGTACTCGAGTATTGGGGAGTCTGTAGCCTACAGTTTGGTATGGTACCAATGGCGGATATGCGGTAACCTAAATGAAGAGAACAATAGTGACGACTTTTGAAACTGCGAAACGGCAAAGCGCCCAATCTGCCACGATTAGTGATAAAACAAAAATTTATACAAGTACGACTTTAGGGTAAGTGGGGAAGTTAGCTCGTTCTCATTCAACTCTCTCGCTCTCTGCTCCAACTTATCGCTCAACTCAACTAACTAACCAACTAAGGTATACGGTAAAGACGGAGGCATATATATTAATCGCAACAAAAAGCATCCTCCCATCTTCCCATTAATCGCCACAGATAGCCACTCTGATCCACGCAGGACCCCCTTGCCTTTGCACACCCTCTCAATAAAAAATATACCAGTATTTGGGATCGGTCGCCGATCGATTGCAAACCTCATAATCCACTACCCAACTAGCAGTCGTGGTCCCCGAGGTGCATCAGTGAGCAGATCCCCCGTCTTCAAGAGGTGGTCCTATCGTTCTGGGCATTGAATCCTTCCGTCAAAGCGTACCGGGGATGGAACAGACACTACGAGTACTTCTGTACTGTAGGACTTGTGGATGGGTTACGACAAGAGAACATGATCTCAATATAAGAGGGGTGGAGTGCATCTCCGTCATGTAGGTAAGCCCGGTGGTTTGTACTGTATCCGATGAAGAACAACGCCCCCCTCACCCACCGTATCGGCAGAATTAGCGGAGAACTACCTGATTAGGGAGATTCTGTTGTGTGCGTGAGCCCGAACTTGGACGGTGGCATATGCTATTAATGGACTAACCTATGCATGGAGAACAAGCGGTTCTGGGGGATAAGAGAAATATTCATGAGAACTTTGTTGAAACGTGCTATGGCTGGGCCTGGTGTTTCGACGACCTCAGCAACCTTCGGTGATTGGGAAACATGTATCGGTTTGACCTGGTGTAGTGCAGACACAGATTGTTTGGTGATGAATCAGAGGGGAGCAGATACTGGATATCTGCACTAGATTCACGTCAGTAGTGTTTGATGATTAGAGAGTGTGGCGGATTTCTTTCCTGTTGTGATATTTTGAGTATTTTTCTCTTTCACCGACACATGTGTTTTTCGCCGACTTTCTCTCTATAAAGGACCATTTATTTTGCCTTTCTTTTCCGCTCATTATTCTCATACTCATCTGTATTTCTCTGTTCCCTAAGATTCTCTCAATCCACTCTTTTGTCAGTCTCATTGCTGCACCCCAATGGAAGTGAATATAACGGTAACTTGACCTTTGCGCTATATACTTCACAAACTTGACCACAGGTGATCGCTTTGCTTGTATTATACCTTCGAGAATATTCACCTAGCGTACTGATAGCCTGTATGAAGTCGTGCTCGGCCAATGGGCCGCTTTGTTTGCATCGTTTGCACTAATTCACGATCAAACGAATTCAACTTGAGCCAGGTTCCAGATTTGAATTTGAATTAGCTTGTCGTCCAAACCCGTATTTGGGCATGATACTAGGAGACTGTTGCCGTGGCAACAAGATCAAACCAAGTTGATGACTCCACCGGAGCTCTCTTATTGGTTGGCCGGTGCCCATTAGTCTGCCTCTCAGCCTCAGCGTAAAGTGTGTAGCTCAGCCTACCGTATCTTCATCCTAATCAACGATTTCCATCTCCACCGAGCGCCATACTAGAAAACTCTCCCCTTCTGTTATTGTGCGCGAAATATCGAGGATCCTGTTTGACGTTATACCGTATGTTTGATCCTTGCTATTGATGCAGACATCACTCATCTCGAACGCTTAGAGTTGGCGTGTTGCAGGCCGGTTGGACTCTCGACTCTGGTGAAAAACCAAGAGGAAGATCAGAAAGAAGAGAAGAAAACAGAACGGTACTAGTCAAAGAATAAGTGTACGAGCTGAGTAAGTGTAGCACTTTGACGGTGAGTAATTTCGGGTTCTAGCTAGTGTTCGTGGGAACAAACCCTAAAACTAACTCTTTATAGTACCAAACGTCAGAGTTCTGGTAAGAATAATTTCCAATCCCGCCCAAGGCCTAAAGTACTCAAGTGCTTTAGAGAAACAAGCCAATTGTTACCCCACCGATAGGTAACGAAATTCGCTTCCAGACGACCGAGACGACAAGTTCGGCTCAAGCCAGGAGTTCGGTTCGCTAGAGGCAGTACGGGGGAGACTCGAGCCGCAAGATCTTCATATCCAAATAATAGACTGGGGGGTACTGTAGATTAGAAATCATGCGTCGGTTTATGAGGGCAGGTGTGCAGAAGATAATAGGCCCAGATCATCAGGATAGCACAAGGAACATCAATAACCAGGGTGTAGCACTGCACCAGCAGGGGAAGTACGATGAAGCCGAGATATTGCATCGAAGTGCATTAGGCGACCGAGAGAAGGCGCTTGGGCTAGATCATCGAGATACGCTAAATAGTGTGAATAATCTAGGTGCGACGTTGCATTGTCAAGGAAAGCACGACGAAGCGGAGATTATGCATCGGCGTGCATTAAGGGGAAGGGAGAAAACGCCTTCGACTAGGCGTGACGCTACTTGGTAGGAAAAAGTATGAAGAAGCTGAGATCATGTATCGGCATGCCTTAGGGGCTATGGAGAATGCCCTGGCGACTGATCATCCGGAGGTCCTCGACAGCAGGAACACATTAGGCGAGACGCTTCTTGATCTGAAAAGGTATAGTGAAGGGGAAGCTATTTGTCGGCGTGCGCTGGCGGGTAGAGAGAAGACGCTTGGACCAGATCATCGCGACACCCTACTTAGTGTCAATAATCTTGGTCTGGCACTGCGCAATTAGGATAAGCACTACGAAGCGGCGGTTAGCTATCGACTTGCACTAATAGGTGCGGAGAAGACGCTTGGGCTTGACCACCGAGATGCCCTAATGTGCATGTATAATCTCGCTGGGGCGTTGCACAAGCAGAGAAAGTACGACGAAGCGGAAATAATGCATCGGCGCGCGCTAGAAGGTCGTGAGAAAGTTCTGGGGCTAGGTCATCGGTACACTCTTCTTAGCCTTATCATGGCGGGCACGGTACTGTACGAGAATCGAAAATACGATGAAGCGGAAGTTATGTATCGACGAGCAGTTACGGAGGCAGCTAGAGCTCTTGGGCCTGACCATCCTTTAACTCTAATACACTTTCGCCACCTCTCGATGTTTCTGTTTGCCCGGACGACGCTTGCTTTGGAGGACTCATCATAGCAGAGATGAAGGGTCTAGGTTTACTACTGGATGAAATCATGTTTCCTATTTCTTTCTATCATGTGTTTTTCGTTTTCCTTTTCAAAATATACACCTTATAACGTAGGGTTTTTTTCTTCTAGATGTTAAACGGTGTAATTCTTTTTACAGACGTTGAATTAGCTTCGCGGTCATAATTTGAGCAACCCGGCAATGTTCCGAGAGCATCACCACATAAGAGGTGCCTCTTAGTGTCTGTAATTTCTCTTTTGACTAGCTCTTCTTTTGGCTTTTCTTTGCTGTCCATCATACTTCACATCGATACATTGATCGACCGCTATCGAGGGGAAGAGCAGGGAAGACAGTGGATTAATTTACTTGGACACTGGCAGACCCGCTACAGGCCTCAAGCAAAGCGTCACAATAGACTTCATGAAGGAGGGACTTTTGCTAGGCAGCTCCAGAGTTTGGGAAATGTTTCACGAACAATTCGGCCCTCATGAGTTTCGGCCGCGTGGGTGTGCGCTGTCCACAGCGCCTGAATTCCTCTGCCGGGTTTCGCAATATGATCCACATAGTTGGAACACACCGTTTGTGAAACACAATACATCGTTAAATCAGGAAGCTTCCAATCCGGCATTCCATTCACAGCTTCTACTTGATGCGAGTGACCATCCATGATGGTCCCAAAGCTTTGTAAGACCCAGTTATTGTGAATCGCCGGCGCTCTATACGTTGTCATCACCGGGTAGTATCCAAAACTAGTAACCTATATCCGCAGTTTATTATTTTCTGTATAAAGCACAAAGACGAATACCTTCTAGGTCTGGGAGAGGAGCGGGAGCATTGAGAAGAGAAGAGAAGTTATAGTAAAGAGACGGAAAGAAGGGAAATGAAGACAATCAAAGAGGAGGGAGGTGGGGGAATAAGGGGAAACGAGATGAGAAGTGAAGGAATGAGGGGAAGCGAGATGAGAAGTGAAGGGGAGTGATCGCTGTGATTAAAGGGAAAGAGATGGTGAAGCTGGACGAAGAAGGAACGAAACAGTTTTCTGATTCATGTATTTAAGGACGTTTTTTTGGCCGTAGTTGAAGTGTGATGATAGTTAAGACAAAAAAGATCCACCACCCCACCTCCGACCTCAGAGCTTCTAATGTGCGTGAAAAGTCGATGAGATTATTACGATTTATGTTGCGGGCTTCATTTGGAGCTACAAGTCATTCAAACCTACCAGTCCTACAAGCCCCGCTTTCCGACTCGGGTCCAACATCCCGTCAATCTCGCTGGAACCCGTTCTATCAAAGCACCAATGAAAGAACTAGAGACACGCTCCGCTTGGGGGGGGGGTTGCCCTAGATTTTCCGCTTGATCTGTTTTTGGTACGATACCCCGTTCCTGGGACTCTTTGACCGCTATTTTTTGGAGTTCCTGATCGGACCATCTTCTCTCGGATGGTTGATTGGCTACTTCGGTTCTGTTGGCTTTCTATACCTATTGTTGGCATACGTGCCCTGTTCGCTGTGCATTTGCTTACCCTAGAAACTTGAAAGTCTGAACCGTGTGATATGTCGTTGCGCTCACCTTTATCAGTTTTTCTCTATTAGTAAGGTCAAGAAAGTTTCATTTTTCCGTCTCGGAAGAGAAAAAGGGGCTGTGATTTTCGCACCCCTTTTCAGGGAGGGAAGCTTTGGACTTCATAGTTTACGGTTCAATTATTCAAGTTTCCAAGGTATACCGTTTCTGTGTTTTAGCATGTTCTGACGTATCCTTCCGCCCCTCTACCCTGAAGGCAGCGGGTAGGCTAATCGTCCGAGGAGTCACGATATAAGCAGGGAAGGATTCTTGGGCCTCCTGGCAATTTAGGAATTTTGTGCATTTCTTTCCCGTTTTGTCCTTTTGTATCTCTTTTTTGGCTATTATATGCTTGGCTGGATGGATTTGGTTGGCGGAAGCGGCCCTTATTAGGGTTTGGCGTTTGTAAAAGTGTTGTTGGTTAATGGTATTCGGTGAATCGTGGATCGTCATCCCTGGGGAAAGTCTTGAAATTTGCGGTCGTGGTTACTATTGTATGTTTTACCGCACCGTAGGACTCTAGGGCACACTGAGCTATGGGATCCGAATAATAGGATGTTGAAAGATTTACTCAATATCTCGCTATTTCTTCTTTCTTTCTGCCTACGAACAACCGGGCACCCTGAATATTTTGGACGAATGGAAGGGGAGGGAAGAAGGGCCCAGAAAGGTAACATACCGCCAAGAATCGGAGAACGCGAGCCTCACACCCCACATCACTAACTCGTGCCATGCCCCATATAAACATTTAAAAATGGGATGGAGTCAACTTGTAAAGATAACAAGTAAGAGAATATAATTCAAGGAGCTCAATTCCCCCTCATTCCCCAACTCGCAGGAGGTGCCCCTGGTGCCACAGAACCCTGCGCACTAACCTGATTGAGTCCTTACTCGCCAATCCGGGTTGAAAAGCATGTAGGGTGGGCACATGGCCCAAGAGCCGGAATTGGTTTTATGATGGTTGATTCAGTTTGCAGCTGGTGACTGTTGTATGGTATCGCCATTGACTTCGTTCCGTCGGATTAATATTATTGGAGCTTTATCGGAGTGAAATTTTCCATGAATGCATTTTCTGTTGACTCGAGAGATGGAACTTATTGTCTCGACGCTACAGTATTTCCTCGGTATTTCTGATGGCCCAGTCCGACGGGGACAGTCATACTGTAGCCCTACTGGTCCTTGGCCTGTCGGTACAATACTGTACTGTACACATCTTTCAACCTTTATAGCATTCAGAACAAGAGTAACTTTAACTCAACTAACCGGTCTTGAAAACACCATATCCGAGGAACAATTTACGAAATGCGAATCACATGTTATAATTCTCCATGCTTCAAAGTATTTATTTCTGGGTGCCATAACGACTCGCTACAACCGCCAAATTAATTTTTTTACTGATAAACTTTCATGATGGTATCATATGTTAATTATTTAAGGGGATACCCAAAGTTAGGATTTATTTTACACTAGTTGCCACGGGTGATCGGTTACTGGTGGTGATCGGTTTCCCTGTAAATTACATTACCTCTGATTGTGGGGTTTGGTTCCAACGTTATATCTACTGTACGATTGGTATATATTTTGTTTGCAGCGCAGCACATATATCCCGGATCTTGAAACTATCTTGTTTTAAATGGTGACACTTTTGAAACGGCAACTATTAGTAATGCAACAAAAAAGACTCCAATCACCAGCCTACACCCTTGGGTTAAATGGGGAAGTTCGCTCATCCTCATTCAATTCTCTCTCCGCGCCATCACTCGACTCAACTAATTAATCGGTCAAGATTGCAGTATATATGAATCTCAGCAAAGGAATCCTCTTATCTTTCGTCACCACACATATCCACTCTCGTGCACACGAGTCTCCCCTTCCTCTACTTCCTCGGATGCTGACAAAAGAATAAGCGGCTTTATAAGGACTCTTTGACGCCCCTGCACATCTTCCGCTCCAGGCAGTCCCTTTGACTCTCGTGTACTGCTTCCGACGGATACGTCATTTCCTTGCATGTAATTGCTAATCTAAAGCGCATCTCCGGGACCTTTATTCGGACAAATGAAACAACACCCTGAGCGCACAGAGCAGCGCCAATGACTTTCAACAACTAGTACGATCAACAACTACCGAAGTCCGAGTATTGTGCTCGTGTGACCGATTTGCACCCTGAGGCGCCACCCACCATCCTTCAATTCAATAAGTCAAATTCCCAATAGTGGTGTGGAACGTGGATTATGTCCTCTGTGCCGATGTCTCTTTGGGTTCTTTTCCAGTATATAAGCTTCGCCAATTCCGAATTTAGATAATACTAGGGGCACGTATCTACTGGACGACATGATGTGTGTTATACGGGTATTGTGCAACACCCGCCCAACAATAAATCCCATGAAGCCAAATTCTCGGCGACCAGCTGTACCCGAAGGCATCTTAAACGAAGGTACCACCTCGAATACTGGTTCCAAATTCGCCAGCACTTGGTTTGGGTCAACCTTCGTTCTTACAGCTCCATCGAGCCCTCCATAACCCCGGCCTTTTTAATGCTGCAAGTGATATCACAGGTACCAAATATCCGTATGAGTATCTCTCAAGCCACCTCGCAGTCGAACACGCTGATAGACTTTCCCGCCGCCAGCATTGGTGGAGTTGGGTTGGCTGTCCCCTCGTTCCGTCATATCAGACTCAAGTCCCAACCAGTATCGTACGAGTACTCTAGGAGTCTGCTATGCATGGCGAACCCCCTTGCCCCTCGCAATCTCCACGATTGGTTCCTAACCCTAACCCTATTGCCATAACCATATTATCTACCGCTCCGGCTGGTGCTCTATGCGTATTATACATCTCAAACCCTTTGTGCAAGGGCATCTGAGAAGAACCGTGGGACCGCCCTTGCATGACGAACAACGGAGCCCTCCGGCATGATAAACACTTAACCACTCATGTACCTTTCCGTAAACTAATATGACATCGATATTGTCCTGTAGGATTCTAAAGATGGGGGGGTATTCGGAAGATTGAACCAAGGGAATCGTGTGCGCTTTTTCCCGTGTTTGAAAGCAAAAGCGACATGATGTCTAGTGAGGAGGGATTGCAAGCGAAATAATTTGTCTGTACAGTGTATAGTACTCGATATGACTGAGTTACCCCGCAATCTCAGGGCGTTTCTTTTGCAAGCATGATGCATTCCTTAGATTGTCATTTATCAACCCATTTTGTACTGGGTCCAATATACCGAGCCTGTCACCTACCGATTGCGAACTTCATAACACACTACCCTATTGCGGGATACTGGTGGTGATAGTCGCCGATGTTCATTAGTAATAAGATCTCCCCTACTCAAGGGGTGGTCCTGTCACCCCAGGAATCGAGACCTTCCGTCATGGCTTGCCGAGGCTAGAGCGGATGCTATCATACAAATACTTGAGTACGGTATCCTATCGTATCAGAAGAAGAAACGGAGGCCCGCCTAGTTAGGCAGGTTGTGTTGTGAGTGAGCTTGGGCTCGAAAAATGCCTTATGTGATCTGGCCTACCTTGGGCATGGAGGAAAAGCGATTCTGCAGGATAGGAGAAATATTCATGAGAACTTCATCAGATATGCTGGCTTACTTGTAATATCAACATCCAGAATATTCACATAATGTACTTGAAAATATTGCAGTATCTTGTGGCTCGCTTCAATGTAAAGTAAGGTATTATTTAATACTCATCTTAATTATCAAGACGGCAGTGAGATTTGAACGCAGTATACTTTAGACTGTAAGATGAATTTCCAAGCTTGCGCTAACGAACTATGTGATAACTGAAGGGAAACAACCCATCTATAGTGGGTCGCGTAGACCTGCTTCATACCAAGGAAATATCTATCTATAAGTACACATCATAGGTGTGTGGCACATGACGGCTACACGCCCATGAGCCACATGAGCCACTGGATAGGAAATCGTAATATTTCAATAGTACTTGTACTGATAGCCGGTATGAAATTACCCTTAGCCAATTAGCCACTTCGTTTGCATTGCGTACATGCCTGATTTAGCACTAATTCATCCTACCGGTGAGGGCTGAGAATGGGTAGGATGGAAAGGTTATGTATTTGGTAGGGGATTGATCATGCTGAATTTCCTGTTGAGAAGGGGGGACACTTGGCATGATAGCTTTCTCCTCATAAGCTTCCCTCCCCCTCCCACCTTAGACTAGTAGCGTTGTTGGCACTTGGTGAAGATAATTTGTGCCATGGCACAAGCTTCCACATCAATGAGCCCGGCACGGCACTATATACTGCCCAGGCAAAACGCGAACATATAAACCGGTTTTTCAACAAGAAAGAAGGGGAAAAAAAGAAAAAAAAAGAGAGACGAGGTAATAGGTGAAAGGAGTACCTATCCATAAGATGAATTTTAATACAGGTATTAGAAAGTGTTGAAGTAAGCAAAAGTTGTGAAGTTATTCTCATGTCTATGGTTCATATATTCTTGACAATTGAATTGTCCCAAATTGGGCCATTGATTGATTTCACCACCCTCTGGCATTACTTTGTGCCGTGCCGGGCACATTGGCATGGCACTGAGCGCTTCAAGTGCCAACAACGCTATCTAAGACTAGACAAGCCCCCCTCTAGACAGTGACAAAATAAAGTGTTCTTTCTTCCCTGTCCAATTGAGTCGTGCTCTAAGTTACCCCTCTCTACCTCCTCTTATCTTTCAAGCTATGATACACAACACATCTGCGAGCCAATCCATCACTACTATATGATACCTTTTAGTCAAGAGTCACGGTCACGACAATTTCCAAGGTCCACTGCGCATTCGACACGCCATCCATCT